GACAGAGAAAGACATATACTGTATGATACCACTTATATGTGGAATCAAATAAATGGATGAATGAATGAATGAATAAACTGAACTCATAGACACAGAGAACAGATTGGTGGTGGTTGCCTAAGGTGCCAGGTAGGAAGTAGGCAAAAGAGGTGAAAGCAGACAAAAGGTACAAACTCTCAGTTACAAGATAAATAGTCCTGGAGTCATCTTGTAGAGCATAAAGCAAAGTGGATTCTATGGTATGGTAAATCACAATGCAATAGAGTAATTTTTTTTTTTTTTTTTAAAGTAAGCTCTATGCCCAACGTGAGGCTTGAGCTCAAGACCCCAAGATCAAGAGTCACATGTTCTACCGACTGAGACAGCCAGGCACTGCTAGGATAACTTTTTAAAAAAGTAATAACATTGCAGGAGTCACAAAATTTGGAATCCATTTCTGGTTATATCATCCAGCTACATGGACTGAGCAGACTCATTTAAAATTCCTTAGAGGGAACAAGTTGGTGATATACCTAAGACTTAAAAAATTAAAATCAATTAAAAAATAAAATACATAGAAACAATACATTTTACATATTAAGAGAAAATTAGAACTTTTTAAGAAAAGCTAATGGCCAAGGAGCTTATAAGAACAAATTTCAAACAAGGAAAGAAAAATTTTTTGATTGTCAAATGAGCAAAGATGTCAGTGAGACACTTGTTTATTTCTGGAGGAAATATAAATATAAATGGAAGGCAATTTGGTACTTTGATAGGTAGGTCATAAAGAAGGCAGAGGATCATAGGGGAAGAGAGGAAAAAATGAAACAAGGCAAACAAGGAGACAAACCATAAGAGACTCTTAATCTTAAACAAACTAAGGGTTGCTGGAGTGGAGGGGCGTGGGGGGATAGGGTAACTGGGTGATGGACTTTGGGGAGGGTATGTGTTGTAATGAGCACTGGGGATAAGACTGATGAATCACAGACCTATACCCCTGAAACAAATAATACATTATATGTTAGTAAGAAAAGAATAAAATAAACAAAAACAAAAACAACAACAACAAAAAACACTTTGTCTTGTATGTCTGCCAAACCAATATATCTTATGGAACTATCCACTATCCTCTCAGACATTTAGGAACAAGGATATTCCAAACAGGAATAATTTCAAGAAATGTAGACAGGTCTTTTCCAATATTTATGTCTTGCATGTTCCTTCCTTTCTTCCTTCCTTTTTCTTTGTGCATGCCAAGTATGCATGATGTGTGTGTGTGTTATTTTGGGGGTATGGTCTTTAGAATAATGTTGAACATAAGTGCAATACCAGCTGAGTAAAAATAATTTTGACCCTTTTCTCTAGCAACATCTCAAAAACCATCGAAGAGTAGAAAAAACTTATTTTGATAGAACTTTCTCTTAGAAATCCTGAGCAAACATTATATTTAATGGCAGAATACCAGAATCCCACAAGCTGTGCCTACAGCCTTTCCTTGAAATTTTTTAAGCCTATACTGGGAGTCATGATCCTTTCATTTGTTCAAAACTTGTTTATTTATGCTTTGTTTTTCATTATTCAGGGTTACTAAAGAACATTTGTTCTCAGTGTTATGATAGTCTCTTAAATTAATTTGAGAGGCAATATCATTTTTAGATGTTCTTGGAAGGTTTTAAGAGGGGAAGTACTAGTTTTTTGAAGGATTCTTATTTGTCAAAAAAAAAAAGGGGGGGGGAGGAAACTTGCACACTATCTGCGTCTGAGCCTAGTGAAGCCCAGGCTCACCTACACCTCTGTAATCATGAGGCTCACTTCTTCACTTCATTCTTTTCTCTGCTCAGGTGTCATCTCATCAGGATTTCCTTCCCAGATGGCCCTTGGTAAAAGAACGCTACTCACACCCTGGCAGGCCACAACACTTAAGAGTACCACCTGAGAATGGAGTATTTATCACACTGTTTCTAAGTTTGTTTATTTTCTGTCTCCTTATACTAGAATAAAAACTCAGGGATGTGACAACTTTGCTCTTTAGTTCACTGGTAAACTGTTCTGAGAATAGTGTCTTGAACAGAGTAAGTGCTTAATAAATATTTGTTGGAAGAATGAACCCTTGGCAAGTAAGAAGCATCTAGAGGGAGTATAGTGGGAATAAGAATTAACAGATTCATCTCTCTGTGGCACCATCCTAAGTGATCTAGAACAGATAAGTGGAGTCCCCTCAGAGTTTCTGATTTAATAATTCTGGTTTGGGACCCAAGAGCTTGCACATTCTAGTAAATTCCCTGGTGATCCTCTTTGGGTTGGTCAGGAACCCACAGACTTTGACAGTAATGAATTTAGAAGAACTCTTGGGGTTAATGATTGGGGTAAATGAAGTCAATTTTTGTATCATTCAAAACTGTATTTTTTGAACAAATAACTTGTTAGATTCCTTATTGAATCAATTCATTTTCCTTCTCTTTACATTTCTTTAGGAATCAGGAATGTATCCTAGATTGTCATTTTTATATTATTTCCTATTGAATATCTAATTAAATACTATAACCATAATCAGGGTAGTAGAAACAACTCTTCACTCTAATGAAGTGATTATATATATAATGCTTATCTTTACCTGGGTTCTGATTAAATGATCTCAAAGCTTAGTAGAAGAGTCCTATATTGAGCCAATATTAAAAATCTCTACTGAAGTTAAAAGTCTGTATTAAAGGGGGCAAGGAAACTAACATTCTGGCCCTGTCTTAGGCTCACTTAACATGATCTCATTTTCATGCTAAGAAAGTCCCTCTACATTTTGGAGCAGTGTTTGTCTTCTCCACTTGGAGGAATATAGATGGGCTCTGAGAGGCTACTTGCTTCTCAAACTCACCCAGCTAGATAGAGTTAAAGCAGGCCCTCACAGCAATCTCAGACCACAGTGCCTTCCAGGACAAACAGGGAGTTTTGTTCATTGTGTTTCAAACTCACTGTGCTGGAAGAGATGGGTAGAAAGCAAGTTCCAAGGCACAGAGAGGAATGTGAAAAGGTAACTAGTAAATATTTTGTTGCAACAAAACTGACTCAGCATGAGGATGAAGTCATGTTAGTCAGTGAGTCTTAGGTTCAGTAACAGAATAAGTGATACAAATAGGGTTTTAACTTTCCCAGCACCCCTTCATTTCAACAGTCTTGAAATTCAGGGCTGAGCCCTACCTCAAATCTCTGATGGTGTTATATAGAAGAAAGGCACCTTAAGAATAGGTAAGACAGACAATGCAACCAAAACTCCCTAATGCATTACTTCTCAGGTGCAGGAAGTAGTCATTGCTCACATATGCATCTAGATGTGGCCATTATTTAGTCTCATTTCCCAAGACAGCCCATGCAGCAGCCACACTGGACCACTGGCCACTTTCTCCCCCACCAGTGCTGCTGCCATGTTTTTCCTTCTCTCTGTAATACCATCATCTGTCCTCATGGGATAGGTTTTGTTAGTATTTTTGTTTGCTTACTTTGCTATGTCTGCTATTCCTATCACTCATGAAAAGGAATAAAATAATTCTTTTTAAATCTTGAGGAAATTACAACTTCCAATAAATGTCATAAAATTCTAGAATCCTAATTCTTGATTTCTAGTTCTTGCTGCCCATTCAGAAGGCCACCTAAAGTTCTGTGGTCCTCTAGGCTTCTGCTGTCATCTCCAGCCTAGAAACCCATCAGATCTCCCAGGCAGCCCATGGGCTGGAGAGCACCTTGGGGCTGGGTCACCAGAGGAAACTTGTCTCAGGTGGGTCATGGGGATTTGAGGGGACTTCCACCCTGTGTGCCAACCGTCACCAGGCAACCTTCTCCACCTCACTGAAAGAGTATCCCTAGACTTACCTTCCTCATTTTTCACACACAAAATTCTTTGTATCCCTTAAGATTTAAATCAAAGTGCCCTTTCATTCTAGATTCTAGAAAGACCTAGATTTTTTTTCTGTGATATCAGTTCCCTTCACTTACCCCATTTTATTCCCGAGCTGTCGTTTATATCAATGTCTACCTCAATTGATATTAAGCAACCTTAAATTAGATAAAGGGCTTTCTCTTATTTTATCCTTCTGTAATTTCACAGGGTGCCTTCCTGGGTTATATAATAACATATATGCCAAATAAGATAGCTATGTGACCCAATCTCATTCTAAAATCATATTAGCTGATGCTTTTGGATTATGAGTATCCAAAATTCTATCTGCCTCATTTAATCTAAAGAAAACTGAAAATCAAACTGTATTATGAAGTATCCAAAAATCATTTTGATCAATTCTATTCAACCTGGTAGTCTTTTTCACTGATGTAAAATGGAGCAAAGTCAAATATTTTAAAAAGTCATATTTTTACATTTGTGCTACCTATTTTTTTTTAAATATGATATCCCCCAAACTAAGAGCAGAATCAGCTTACCATATTATTTAAAAGAAAAAAATGCAGTATTGCATTTCTTAGTCATTGATAATGTTTCTTTTCTTTCTTTTTTTTCTTTTTTTTTTTAATTTTGGTAAGTCTTACACATGCCATGTTTACAGCACACAAAGATGGTTATTCACATAATATCTTCTTAATATACTCAAATCCCAAAATAATATTTCCTCTAAGACAAATATCATGTTGTCATAAACTAGGTGCCACAAAATAAGAGATATTCTAATACTGTATTGAAAAGAAATTGTTTTGTGCTCTAAGTGCTTAGAGAACAAGTAAATGCGTCTGCCTATAATTTTCAATCAGTCACTCCATTGTTCAGAGAAGTAGATGACAGTATAAAAACCCTGTTAAGTATTTTATTCAGAAGAAGAAAAGGAACATAAAGAATCTGAGGCTTAGGTAGGCTGACGGGTTGATTTAGTAGCCCCAGGAACTTGCTGTTTTTCAGACATAATTACAATAGCTCTATTATATAATAGAACAATGATTTCAAAGATTTATGATAAACACATGTAGTAGCAAAAATAAATTAATAAATTAATTAAGAAAAATAAAATCCTTTTCAGTGTTCTTACCTACAGGTAGATCCTGCATTTTGGGGATATGAAAATGCTCCTTGAAGTGCCTCAGCTCATCTTCCTCATCAAGGCGGAGGGCGACCCTCTCATCTGTCGGGTGACATCGAAGTTCTGATGCAATGCGTTGTACTGTGTCAGCTGGTAACTCAAGAGGGGAGGGCTCCATTACAAGTTGCTTCTCTAAAAATGAAAGTGAATATAATATAAAATAATTTAGCCACCATCATTTTTTTTCTGTAGAAAATTAGTCAACCCTTTTGGCTTAAGTAAGATTCTCATCTTCCCAACCTCAGAAATAATATAATTGACCAAACAGCATTAAACCTCATGCTTGAGTTTTTCTCATGTGTGAAATAAAGAAAATGATAATAACTTAAGGGGTGTTGAAAGGAATAAATTTAGGTAATGGTGGTGAGGAGTAAGGTCTTAATAAATGTTAGCTCTTTCCATTTTTGTTTTCTGGAAAATGGACCAAATTAGTGACTTTCAAACATACGTAAGTTCATCACCTTTTCCTCTAGATGTCTTACTGGGGGTAACAGTAAAGATGCTTTTGTGAAAAGTGTAGAGAAACAGTGCCCCACCTAGCTTGTCCTTCTCCCTATCCCCCTTCCTCTGTTTTACTCCCAATGATTCTTGGATCAGAGTTTTAAAATTAGGGACATATATATACAATAGAACCATAACAAATTCTTTATTGTGAATGAAAACAGTATTGATGAAAAAGGTAACTTTACCTTTACCTTCTACCTAATGTTAATAATTTTTGCCATATGAAGACCAAAGAGCTCTTCCTGCTACTGATAAAGAGAAACTTCTCTTTCAAAACTATATATGCCATCTTAGAACAAAGCAGAACCCCATGATATTTTCTGAAACTACATTTTGCTCTGTTTAATCGTCATTTAAAATTTCTCACAATTTTGGAAAGAAAGCTTCATTTTCTGGGTGGGGGGGAACAACAGAAATTTAACTACATATTCTTAAACTTTACCCAAACTTTCTTTATATTGATTTATTTATATTTCCCCAAGTTTTAGCTTTTTTTGAAATTGAGTAAGAATAGTAATAGAGAAAAAAAATTCTCAGGTAGCTTGATTTATAGACTTCTACTTTTGTGCCTCCACTTATGCATTCCTCCATTCATTTATCTTTCCAGGAGCACTTGTGGAGCACCAACCATGTAGCTCAAAGCACTGATGAAAGAGCACTGTAAAAGATGGTGCGTAAGCAATACATTTTTAGTTTACTTTTTAGTGGAGAATGAAAAATATAATTAAATAATGTAATTTCAGAGAGTTTCAAGAGCTATGTATAAAAAAAGCAGAGTAATGGGATAGAGAGTCACTAGGGTATGGAATAACTTCCTCAGGGGAAGGGTCAAGTGTATCTCTTTGAGGCAGGGATCTACGTGCATTGTTATGGAATCAAACACGTGAAGACCAGGAACTAGAGAAGATGACAGAAAAGTACAAAAATCCTGTGGTGGGGACAGGCTTGGCCTGTTCAGCTAATACACTAAGTAAGTAAGGGAGAAGGAGACACTATGAAGGAAAGAAGGCAGGGGCAGAAGTTAATTATGAAGAACTCTGAAGCCAGAAAGGAGTCTGGATAATTTTTCTAAACTTAACGGGAAATTGCTGGAGAGTCCTGAGTAGGAAAGTGATAGGACATAATTTTGCATGAAATAAAAATCACTTTTTCTGCTCTCTGATGAGTTAGAAGGAGTTGAAAAAGAGAGGCAGATTCAGGCTATTTTAGTAGTTCAGGGGAAAATGATGGTGGATTAAATGTGATGAGGAGAAAAGCAGAGAAGTGTGTGGATTCATTCCATATTTTGGAGGAAAGGCAGCTAGATTTTCTCTGGTGAGGGATCTGAGCAAATATGTTAAAAGTGGTGAAATAGGGGCGCCTGAGTGGCTCAGTTGGTTAAGCGACTGCCTTCGGCTCAGGTCATGATCCTGGAGTCCCGGGATCGAGTCCCGCATCAGGCTCCCTGCTTGGCAGGGAGTCTGCTTCTCCCTCTGACCCTCCTCCTTCTCATGCTCTCTGTCTCTCATTCTCTCTCTCTCAAATAAATAAATAAAATCTTTAAAAAAAAAAAAGAAATTAAAAAAAAAAGTGGTGAAATAAGAAATACCTAGGGAAGAAAAACTTGGAGGAGGGAAATCAAAGTTCTGTTTAGGACACATGAAGTTTGAGGTAGAAATAACAAACTGGCTATTGGATGTTTGGGTCTGTAGCTCAGAAGAAAATTAGATCACAAGATATAAGCTTGATATTTTTCAACTCATAGACTATACTTAAAGCCTAGAAATCCTAAGAACCAACTAAAACTAACAGAGATGAGGCTCTCAAATCTCAATCATCTGTCTTCTTCTCACCACCCTCCCCTTTTTCTCCCACCCCAACCAACACACCCAGTGTTAGGTGATGAAGAGTTGCATGTCTGAATGTTATACAATGCCAGTAAAACAAGCACACTTCCTATTCTCTAAACTGGAATTCTTCTTATTTATTTGACCTCTTCCTTTCTCAATTGCCAGGGGTCTCCCCTGATAAGTTATTCTGTATATTCTCAAATAAGGGTACTGAGCTTGATTTGAACATGTTTTTAGCTTTGATGCCAATAACGGCTGCCAATTGCTCCAATCCATGCTTTTGTACAAAAGTCAACGATTTCAACAATGGTGTTGATAGTTCCTTCAATATCTAACCGTACTAAATTATTTGTCTTTTTCATGAAATTTCCTCTGTGATCTTTCTCATGTCATTCCCTTTGCCTAAAATGTTCTACTTCCCTTTCTATATATTCACATCCTAGTCACCTTCAAGCCCTAGTTCAAAGGCTACTTTTTTTTTTTTCTCCCACAAGGCCTGTCATGTTGTCTCAACTAAAAGTACTTTTTCCTCCTCTGGATACCTGTAACACTTAAAGAGCACACCTTTATTCGTAAGTAAGGCATCCTGCCAGATACTCTATTTAGATGCCTCTGTGGTTGGGAAAGCTGAAATATGTTGCCACACCTACAACTTGATTCTGCATGGGTTCCCACCTATTGCCTTGTGATGAATTAACCTGCTTTTTGAATAGAGATGACAGTGTCTCTACCATTTGACATTATCCTAGTCACAATTGACTACACCTCTGTTAGACACTTGACTCACTGGAGACAATGCACTGTTTTGTTAGACAGTGACTTGCTGTGACTGCTTTAGCCAAACAGTCATGATGGTGTTTATCTGAACATCTCATCAGATTCTTTCAGGAATCTGAGCTATGAGATACAGTTATTTATTCAGTTGGAAACAGAAGCAAAAATTTTTAAAAATCATAGAAAGCAATGATAAGATGGTTGGGTCTAGAAGGAGTATTGTCATGAGTGACTCATTTTTTTCAAAGTCAAACAGAACCACTGCTTGTTAAAATATGAAGTGATTTCAGAAGCAAATAAGAATCAACTTAGTTATGCAATGGTAGGGGATGGAACAGCTATGTCTCTTGAAAAGTGACAAGACAAACCAGTCTGGAGAGTCATTGAATCCTTCCATGCAACAACTATGTGTATATCCTGGAAGGTCACCTAGAGAATTGGCTGTCCTGAGAATCTAATGAGCTGTTTTCTGCCTATCAAGTGTGTTTTTACTATGAACACATTACTTATGGTGGCTTGACTGAGTTGCTGGGCTACCCATCCTACTCAACTATATATATTCTACCTGGAGGCCTGAATCTTGTTTATCTTTGTAGCAATTCCATTCCTGAGCAGTGGCTTTTACGTAGAGCATTCCCCTAAAACAGCAATTTAATAAGAATGCACAAAATAGCTTGAATTATTTCACATGATTAAAGACTATCCAAAGAGCAATGCCCTTCTTACTCCAACCACATGGAAATTAATTAGAAAAACATTTTCAAAAATCTTGCCTTTTATCTAGTAATTTCTTTGGAGAGTCAGAACTCTGAGGGTTCACTGGGCTTGACTGTAAACTCTGAATAGGTTACCTAAATATACATATTAGTTTGCTACCATCATATTCCCAGTAAAATCCAATTTTCTTTATTTTAAAAAAGATATTTGGGGGTGCCTGGGTGGCTCAGTTGGTTAAACGACTGTCTTCGGCTCAGGTATTCATCTTGGAATCCCAGGATTGAGTCCCATGGCCGGCTCCCTGCTCAGCAGGGAGTCTGTTTCTTCCTCTGACCCTCCCCACTTTCATGCTCTCTCTCTTTCTCTCAAATAAATAAATAAAATCTTAAAAAAATAAAATAAAAAAGATATTCATATTAATTCATTAGCCTTTTTGTATTTGTTTCTTATTTAATCCTTCTAACAATCTTGAGGGATCAGAATAATTTTCTTCTACTTCCAGATCAAACTTTGGGATAATAAGAGTCCACTGTTTGGGACTGCACTTCACTTGAGGAACAGAGTCAGCCATGCTTGTCTTCGGCATGGCATGTGGATAGAATGCACAGAGCAGAATTCCTGGCCCTCTTATTTTATTTTTCCTTGTATCTTACTTTATGATTTTTAAAAAATGCTTCTTTGGGGCACCTGGGTGGCTCAGTCGTTAAGTGTCTGCCTTCAGCTCAGATCATGATCCCAGGATCCTGGGATGGAGCCCCACATTGGGCTCCCTGCTCAGAGGGAAGCCTGCTTCTCCCTCTCCTACTCCCCCTGCTTGTGTTCCCTCTGTCGCTGTCTCTCTCTCTGTCAAATAAATAAAATCTTAAAAAAAGAAAATATGTTTCTTTGGCTCATTCTCTTTTTTCCCTAACTTCATTCTTTTTTTCAGCCTTGTACTCCATCTGCAAATACAGGAGGCAATGAATCTACTACTCTTTTTAATCAATCCTTCTAATCCAGTCCCAGCCAGGCAGAGGTTGAAGAGGCTAGTCCCACTTCTGGGCCTGTCACAGCCCAGATGTCACAACCTCACCTGCACAGAGATTAAAACACCTGCTAGTGAAATAGGCTTTCAGGGAGAACACACCTGGTCTCACCTGCCAAAATGTACCACTAACACCAGAAGTGAATACAATCCGCAGTGCCCAATACCAGAGTGCCCTCACTCCAAGGAAACAATTTATTAACTCAGAATAATTGCTGTTTCATTCTGCATTCATCCTGTCAGCAAGGCAATTAGTGCTTCACAAGCCTCAATTTATGCCTCCTGTAGGTTTACCATTTTCAAGTAGATTGACATGCTCTTACTTTGAAATTAAAAAAAAAAATCAACCCAAGTTAAAAAAATCCAAATTTTACATTTCACACATTTAATTTTGATTGTCTTAAGAAGGCATGTATACAGGGCGCCTGGGTGGCTCAGTCGTTAAGCGTCTACCTTCGGCTCAGGTCATGATCCCAGGGTCCTGGGATTGAGCCCCGCATCGGGCTCCCTGCTCAGCAGGAAGCCTGCTTCTCCCTCTCACACTCCCCCTGCTTGTGTTCCCTCTCTTGCTGTGGTTCTCTCTGTCAAATACATAAATAAAATCTTAAAAAAAAAAAAAAAGAAGAAGGCATGTATACACACACACTTGTTCTTAGGAAAGCCACCTAACTTTTCTGTGCTGCAATGTTATATAAAACTAATAATTTAAGTTTTACTTTCTTCAGAGGTTCATGGTTAGGATCAAATGAAATTTATTAGGTAAATTCCTTTATAAAGAGATAAAAGATATGCTCATAATATCTTTTAATAGTAATACCTTGTGATGGAAAGTGCCATTTTACCCTCAATTTAGCTTCTGAAATTTTTTAAATTGTGTTCTGTCTATTTTATTAGGCAGCTATAACTTTAAAGCTAAAACTTTTATAAAAAATTGATTGTTTTCATGGAATCATGGAATCCAGGATCTTCTAGTCACCTATGTGTCTAAGGTCAAATAGTTAAATAAATGACTATGACTACTCAGTGGCTAATCTTTACACAGTTTCAGGTTTCATGCCTGAAATAAGCAAATTACACACGAGTTCAAAGTTTAGAACCTGGCAAAGCAAATTATAAAGTACAGAGCTTTTCAGTGAGAAAGAAAATGTTATTTAATACACATGCACAGAGCAGTATTCTTTAAATGTGTCATTGTTCACTGTCACAACTGTATATTTCATGTCAAGGAGTATATGAATTACATGCTGAGCATCACATTAATAAGATCAACACATTTGCTCTAATGTTTCTACCTAAAAAACACCCCACCCTCCTCAAAATAAAAGCAGAAAAGAAAAAACTTTTTTTAGCTATGAAATAAAAGTGTATTAACTCTCCATTCTTAGGCAAATATTTCATAAAATGAAAGGGGAAGCAACCCGGCTCATGAAATAGACATTTTCACTTCTCCAAATAAATATTGAACATGACTAATGGCACCATAAGACAACTAGAATTACCAGAAAACACAGGACCTAATACTTATTTAAAGATCTGAATTTTTATCTAATCGAGCCATTTAAACTCAAGTAACTACAAAATTAACTTCAATTAGTCAAATGTAATCATCTCTCACTAAATGAATTGCATAGTACTCTTGACAGCAATACATTGGTAAAGATCTCTATTTAACCCAACGTTTTAAAGTGTGAGCACTTGCACATTAGAGGATTATGCCATTTCTATGAAGATAATTTGGAGAAATAGAAAGAGAAGAAATTGGCAAAAGAAACCTCTAAAGCATTTTAACAAGGATTCTAACAGAGAGAATTTTCCTTTGGAAAAATCACTAACTGTGTATTTGTGTACAGAGTGTATTATCAGCGTCTCTGTGCTTACCAGCTAGGATTCCGACGATGGGGTCCACAGCTCCCAGTCTCCTATTAAAACAAAAAAAGAATTGAAAGGAAAAATCTCTCAAGATTTCCTTGAAAACTTACAGGTCAGAACTCAGGGTGAGAAATGCAGAGCACTTCTGCTCAGACTCCACCCGGTGGGGAATTTGTGAGCTAACTTTAGTTCCTCCCCTCTTTCTAAACTGATAGTGAATCTCCAGTCACTGACAAACATCTAAGCAAAATGCTGCTCTTATTCTCTATTTCAAACAGGTTGGGCTCCTTCAGTGCGCTGTCCCCTAAGCAGCGAAGTAAAATAACCAGTCAGAGAAAAGACAGATACCATATGATCTCACTCATATGTGCAATCTAAGAAACAAAACAAATAAGGGCCCCTGGGTGCTTCTGTCAGTTAAGTGTCTGACTCTTGATTTCGGCTCTTGTGTTGGGCTCTGCACTGGGCAGAGAGCCATCTTAAGATTCTCTCTCCCTCTGCTTCTGACCCCCCAGCCTGCCCCCCACCCCATCGAATGCACACTATCTCTAAAAATGAAAAAAAGGAGGGCGCCTGGGTGGCTCAGTTGGTTAAGCAACTGCCTTCGGCTCAGGTCATGATCCTGGAGTCCCTGGATCGAGTCCCGCATCGGGCTCCCTGCTCGGCAGGGAGTCTGCTTCTCCCTCTGACCCTCCCCTCTCTCATGTGCTCTCTCTCATTCTCTCTCTCTCTCTCAAATAAATAAATAAAATCTTAAAAAAAAAAAAAAAAAAAAAAAATGAAAAAAAGGAAAAAGGAAGAAAAAAAGGAGACAAACCAAAAACAGTATTTTTTTTTTTTCCACACCCAGTATGGAGCTCAGCACAGGGCTTGAACTCTCAACCCTGAGATCAAGACCTGAGTGGAGTTCAAGAGTTGGATGCTTAATGACTGAGCCACGCAGGTGCCCCCAAAACACTCTTTTTTTTTTATTCTTATGTTAATCCCCAACCCCCAAAACACTCTTAACTGTAGAGAACAAACTGATGGTTAGCAGAAGGGGGGTGGGGAAGGGCATGGGTGGAATAAGTGAAGGGGATTAAGAGTACAGTTACCATGATGAGCACTGAGTAATGCATAGAATTGTTGAATCACTATATTGTACACCTGAAACTGAGATAACACTGTATGTTAACTATACTGAGATTAAAATTTTTAAAAATGAAAAAACAATAAAGATAGAGTCTGGGCCTGAATAATTGAATCTATTTTGTATGCATGCCTATGCCTTTTTGAGCATCCAAAACATACCAGGTAAAGCATTATTTAATCATCTCTATCATGTGTTCACTATATAACTCAGGACAATTCACCTAACCCCCTTTGAAGCTCAGTATCCCATCTATCAAATGGACCTAAAATTGCCTTTCTCACAAAATTACTAAAATATAAAGCAATGCATGCAGAAAGCTAGAATACCAAGACACCTATGTCAGTAAGTGACACATTCTTTTCCCCCAAAATTAATCAGACAAAAATTATTACCCTCCAGTCTCCAAAAGAGGGGTATAAGACACATGAAATTAATTTAATACAAGTAACTGAACAAAGAAAAGAAAATATATTTCATTTCATCAATCCTACTTTTACAATAATCCTACAAAGTGAGTAGTGTATTCTTATTAAGTTGAGAGTAAAACTGAATCCGGTCTGGGTGTCTCAAAATTTGCTCTTTTTTTTTTTTTTCTGTTTTATTTATTTCTTGGGCTGTAAGAACTTTGGAAGATCTGACTGATTCCAATATCCAGGAAGTGAGCCTGGCCTGGAGTATGTATCATTTTTGGTGAAGAATCACACTCCTTTAACTACTGACTGTGGATACAGAGATAGAAACAGAGCTACAGATTGACCTATCAAGGTCTTATTTGCACATTGGTATTTCTAAAATCTTCTGATAGTAGTGTTAGAAACCATTCCAACAAAATACTAATCTGCCCTATGATAAGATCCCCTGCCCTTCCCCACAGGGGAAAGTGGTCTTGCCTGAAACAATCTTTTCTTTTGCTAGTAACTTTCTGGCCCCATCCTCCTTCCAATAAAAACTCCATTTTGTATAACCCCTAAAATTCCCCTCTACTTGCTAGATGACATGCTGCCCAATTCATGAATCTGTTAATAAATCTAATCAGATCTTCAAATTTACTCTGTTGAATTTTGCCTTTTTAACACCACTGTTAAAGAACTTAGAGCTCTAAGCTATATTCCTATTACTTATGTTTTGTAAATCTCTTTTAATTTGTTTCCTTCTGCTAAAAAGCAAAATTCAACTAAGTAAATTTTAAAGATCTTACTGGCTTTACTCAACAGTTCATGAATCGGGCAGCACCCAACCTAGCAGAGAGAAAGGAGCTCCTAGGAGCTGTACAAAATGAAAGAGTCAGAGGAAGAAGGATGTTGGAACAAAGATGTTATACTAGATTTAAAAAGCAGATTAGTTATGACAGATGACAGGGTCACTTTCCCTTAGGGCATGGCATGGGTTTTCAGGTGGATTACCTTATTACTGCTGATCAGATAATTCTGGATGGAGTGGTTTAAGATTCCATGGGGGGGGGCAAAACTATAATTAATAGAATCAAGTCTCCATTTGGCTTAGCATAAGGGACTACATTATGGGTCTATTATCTTGTTTTTAACACTTCATTCAGTAAAAAAGAAAAATATTATTAAGCATATTCTTTGCATCAGGCACAAAGCTAAATGCCAGGGATATCCTACCCAAAAAATAAAAAGGAATTGTGAAATATCAAGCCGTGGAGGGAGTGATAAAAACAAGGTCCACTGAAGGGCCAGCTGTGGAGGGAAAAGAGAATAGATTGAACTGCCATTTCTTCTTTTTTTGGAAAGAAGAAGAAGAAATAATGTTGTTGTTAGGATAAACTGTTGTATTAATTTGGTTGTCTATAAATTTCCATATATATCATCTTGCCTACAACATGATAAATATCTAAAAGGTAGAGACTTTGATTTTACCCTCCTTAGCACCTTGTCCATAAAATATCTGTTAAATTAGTTACTTTTAAAAAATGATTCCATTTCTTCCATCAAAATTGATGATTAGGGATACAAGGGGAAGTTCTTTTCTTCCTAGGGGTGAGTAAAGAACAGGTGGGGCTAGGTAGGAAGAAGTAGATAGGGGGCTCCATGATCAGGGTCACAAAAATCCCAAAAATATGGAAATGTAAGGAAACCAGAGATAAGGGAACAAACCAGACCACCCTACCCTAGGCATGTGGGGGGAGTGTCTTTTATGATAATCACCAGCACCCAACAGAGAATAATCAGACCCTAAAAAAGAAGTAAGCCATTAAAGATGTAATCACCAGTCCTTACTCCAGCCAAGACATCACAAGAATGATAAGGCCACAAGCTCCCTGGTCAGTTCTAAATGAAAGACTGTCAGTGGAGGCCCACATCGGCAACTTTGTAGGGACCCCTCTCACTCCTGAGAGCTTTCTGTCTGTATCCTTGCTTAATAAACTTCTATCGCTTTACTCACTCTTCTTTGTCCTCGAGATTCATTCTTGGACTCTGTGAGACAAGAAGCTTGCTCTCCCGCTTCAGAGGTAATCCTTAAATTTTCCTTATTTTTCAGGACTTATTTACCATGGCCAAATCAGTGCCAGGCAAATAGTAGACTTCAATGGGTGTTTGCTGTTATTATTTACCAAATTAAATTCAGTGCAGCAAATTGTTTCTGTAAGAATCTTAGGCTACACATCCAACTATAACACTCTAATGCTAAATGATTCATGAGTAGAAATGGGTGATGAGACTGAACACAGAGCTGCTCGGTGGCCAATCCAGGTCTTATATTAAAGTGTTCTGAGAAGTGAAAGAAAACCTCAACCTCAGGGAGCAAGTTGGGGAAGATCTGATAAAAAGCTGCATTCACAAATTTGGGCGTTGAAGGATAGCAGAATGCGCCCCTCCAAAATATGACTGCAGGAATTCAGAACTTGCCACCACAACATATGTCGCTGTGGTATATCAATTATCTTGAGCTGTAGGAATTTAAACAGCAAGGTCAGGGAGAGGATCTCTCTGAACTCCCCTATCTGCCTGAAGACAGATCCTTCAAAAGGAATTCAGTTATCAATCCCCTCCCTGGGAGTTTCCTCAACGACAGGAGATTGACTCTTGTCACAGGGAGGGGACTAGAAGTCAATACCACACCCAGACCAACTTTGTTACTATCATATCTCTTACCTATACTTCTAAGGGCCCATTCATCCTTCCTAATAGTCATTTACTCCCCTTTAAGAGGCCCACATCTCTCTTCCCTTTTTCCGTTTAAGATGGTATTTAAGTCTGAATCTAAGCCACCTATGGGAGTTACTCATTTTTCCCTGGGTACCTCCCATGTATACATGAGGTATTCACATTCATAAACTTGTTTTTCTCTTGTTAAGCTGTCCTTTATTATAGGGGTCCCACCTATGAACTCAGAAGGATAGAGGAATTTTTTTTTCCTTCCCTACAGTATGCAGAAACTTTCTAATTACTCTATTTTGTAAATTAAATAACAATGTTTTAGGACTTCAATCATCACTTCTGTAGAGGGAGATTTAATTTGAGTCCTTATTGGGACTCTCCTTTCCTGGATGTTTTAAGCACAACAAAATACCCTAAAATGAATCTATTAGCTTCCTTCTCTCTTATCTCTTCTGCCTCTCTCCTTTTCCCTACCCCACCGCCCTGCCCACCCAAACACTCTTTCCCCTTCCTCTTGGGGGTGACCAATATAACGTAACAATCTTTTTTAAAAGCCACGTCAGGATGTTCTCACCAAGCAATTTTTATTCTGAAGCCAAAGAAGGCAGAATCTTATTTATATGGGTAGAGAAAAATATAAAGAACAGAACACACACACACTTAAAATTTTCCTCTGCTCTTTCCCCTTCCTTTCTCCCCTATTCCTCCCTTCCCTACCTTTACCTCTCCTCTCCCCCTTCCTTTTGCCTTCATTTGCCTTCCCTCCCCCTTCTCATTCCCTCCCCCCTTCTCTCCT